TTCCATAATATGGGGGCTCAGAACTTAGCAGGGGCCACATTGCTGCCCCCTCCCCCCCTCCCCCCCCCTCTGCTTCCCCCTCCTCCTCCCTATTTTCTTTAGGGTTAACAGCTCCAGATTGGAGGGGGGGAGTTTGGGGCTGTGGGGTTTTTTTCAGCCTCCCCTCTCCCCCCCTGGGTCGTGGTTGTGTTTCCTGTATCGATGTACAAATAAAAGTCTATTTATCGCTACAGCAGATGCTGGGGGTGGGGTGGGGGGTTCCCCACTCTCTAGGGGCTGCAGTGGGGCCCAGGGATGCAGGAGGGTGGAGATTTTGGGGCTGGGTGCCCACGTTTGTTTTTTTTTTCCCCCCTCCCTTTCCACTCTCTGAGCCCTTTTGTTACAAATTTCCCATTCCCTCTGCAGGGTTATTTTAGGATTTTTGGTCTGTCCCCACCTCAGACCCCCCCCAACCCCCAAGCCCCTATTTGCCCTGCAGCGGTCGCACTGCTCAGTGGTTCCCTCCGACCCCAAACCACACGCAGACCCCAAATTTAGCACAGCACCGCCCGTTCTGGGAAAGCCCAGCGCTTGGTAGGGGGGAATAGGGGGGAGGGGGGTGGTTTGGGGTGGGGACACCGCAGCCCCACTGCTGTGCCAACCGCCATGCGACAGCACTCCAAAGTTTGGGGGGTGTAGGAAAAACGAAGCAAAGGTTTATTTATAGGGAATGGGGGGGGTCCAGGGAGGGGGGAATAAATAATGGGGCTAGCATGGGGGGCTCACGGTGCTTTCGGGGTGCATCTGTGTGGCACTGTGTGCAGCTGCAGCGTGGTGCTGGGTGACGTTGCACACACATGGTGGCATTTGCACATCGTGCAAGGCAGCACTTGCTCACCCAGGTTTGCAGGGCTGAGCTGGCACACACACGGCTGTGTTTGCACATGCAAGGCTCCATTTGCACGTGCACGCGTGGCAGCAATGGCTCACCCAGGGCAGCGACGTGCAGAGCCCCACATGCACACCCACGGGGCTGTCCCCCCCCCTCCAGGACCCACCACATGCACGCATCCCTACACATTACACACCACAACACCGTTTGCACCCCCACAGCACTGCTGCCCACCCTTTGCACCCCCAGTGCACCGCTGCTTCCATTGCATGCACGCATCCCCACGTGTACACCCTTTGCACACTCACGGCACCCTTTGCACGCCTGGAGCCCCTCTCTGGCTGCACCCCACCCCCATATCACCCCATCTCCTCTCCCTCTGTCCCCCCCGGCCCGCGGTTGCCCTTTCCCAGCCCCTAAGGAGGCGGTGAGCGGCCAACTCCTCCCCCCCCCGCTCTCCTCTCCGTGCAGTGCTGAGCCCCAAAACCGTTCCAGAGCTCAAGGAGCAAAAGCCCTACGGATGTCCACACATGCAATGAGTTGGGCACCGGCGTCTGGTCTCAGCCGAACCTCCCCCCTCGTCCACCCCCCCGGCTACACTTTAGGAGGGTTTTGGCCGCAGCCCCAAGCCCAAATCCCACAGCGGGTCCAGGACTCTAATGACAGGGGAGGAAGGGTGTATTTACAGGGGCACGGCCCAGCGCGCCGCGGCGGCACCGAAACCGCCGGCGCTGCTTTGCTTTGCTGCGCCGAAGTCTTTCTTTTCGCTCTTCCCCCCCCTAAAAAGAAAACCACTCCTCTCCATCACCCCCCCCCCTCACTTCCCCCTCCCCAAAGCCGCTTCGCTTTAGCAGAGGAGGAGGAGGAGGAGGAGGAGGACGGGCAGGAGCGAGGCGGTGGCGGCGGGGCGGGCGGCGGAGCTGCAGTGCGCGCGGTTGGTGCCGATGCAGGCGGCGTAGGCCATGGCGTGGGGGATGTAGTTCTGTTCGTGCACGCCGTGCAGGAGATGCGCCATGGGGCCGCGGGCGAACACCGCCACGTCCTCACCGCCGTGCGTCTCCTGCCGCAGCGGGACGGCCGCCTGCGCCTGGTAGTTGGCGTGAGCTGGAAGGGTAGGGGGATAAAAAGCATCAGAACCCAGCCGTTGGCACGCGGCCGTCGTGCCGCCGTGGGTCTCAGCCCCGTCGCACGCACCGAAATCCACGGCGGAGACGTTCTCGCGTTCGCCCCCCACGATCTTATAGCCGGGGCCGTTGCCGTACAGGATGGAGGTGAAGGGTTTGCGGTCCACGTCGCTCTGCATCGGGGCCAGCCCTGGCGGCACGCGCGTGTCGGTGACATCCCCACCCTGCGATGGGAAGGGGGGAGGAAGGGGGGGGGGGGCGACGGAGCGCTCACCAAAAATGGGGTTCCCTCGCGGAGTGTAACCGCCGAAGGTGAAGACGTGCGAGTGGTCGGCGGTGACGACGCTGAGCGTGTCGTGCGGGGAGGTGAGGCGCCCCGCCAGCCCCACGGCGCGGTCCAGCTCCACCGCCTCGTGCAGCGCCTGCTTGGCTTTCCCCTCATGGTGCCCGTGGTCGATGCGGCCGCCTGCAGCCGCCCCACAGCGCTGTGTCCCACGGCGCTGCTCCGCCGCAGCCCTGCATCCCCGACCCGTCCTTTCCCCCCATCGCTCTCTTTACCCCCCGCTCTGCATCCCCCTTTTGCGATGCACCTCCTGATTCCTTCCCCCTTCCCACCCTCCTTTTACACCCCATCGCTTCCTCATCCCTCTCCGCACCCCAGTGCACCCCCCAGCCCTCCCACCTTCCACCAGCAGGAAGAAGCCCCGCGGGTTTTTCTGCAGCATCCTTATGGCCACGGCCACCATCTCACTGAGCGACGGGTCGGTCTCGTTGTTCCTGTCCAACTCGTACACCATATCCCCCGGCTCAAAGAGACCTGGGGACAGCGATGCTGGAGGCGGGGCGGCCTCACGTAGCCCAGCACCGCTTTTGTGCTGGCTCAGGCACTTCGGCCCGCACCGGATCCCATTCCGGGGCTGATAAGATAGGGATGGGGATGCTCCCGGCCCTTCCTTCCTCCTACCAGGTCAGACCCGGGAATGGCAGTGGATGGGGTGAGGGGTAGGGGCGGGGGTAAAGGTTGAGGTTGGGTTTGGGTTAGGGATAGAGGTATTAGGGCCAGGGTTAGGGTTATGGTTAAGGGTGGGGGTTGGGATTGGTGTTGGGGTTACGGTTATGGGTAGGATTATGGTTAGGGTGAGGGGTAGGCACAGGTAGGGTTATGGTTAGGGATGGGATTAGGGATAGGTGTAGGGTTGGGGTAGAGGCTGGGTTATAGTTAGGGTAAGGGGTAGAGATTGGGGTTGGGGTTGGGTTAGGAGTAGTGTTTGAGTTTGGATTAGGTTTAGGGCTCGGGTTATGGTTAGGGTGGGAAGAAGGAGGAGAGGTTAGGGTTGGGCTTAGGCATAGAGATAGGCTTAGGGGTAGGGTTATGGTTCTGGTTATGGTTAAGGTGAGGGGTAGAGTAGGGTGAGTTAGAGCAAAATGGGGTGAAGATTGCATCCCTAAAAGGGTGTAAATTGCGTCCCTCAGAAATCCCACATCTGAGGGGTCACCGTGCGCTGGGGGTGTCCGCACGTCCATGGGCACCGGGGGCCACTCACCCAGGAGGAAGTCAACGCGGCTGAGGTTCAGTGCCAGCAGCTCCCTCCGGTGCCACACGTACTTGGCGACCTGTTGGGGCCACGCGGGGTCACCTCCCCATGGGGACAGCCCCCCATCCCCAACACGGGGCTGCCGGGTGCCCCATCCCACACCTTCCCCGCAGGCTTGGTGTCGTGCCACGCCTGCACCAGGTCCTTGCCATCCAGACGGGTGCCGCGGTGCCGCTCCTCCTGCGGGTACTCCACGTCGCTGGTGTTCCTGGGGAACATGTACTTGCGCCCACCCCCCAGGATCACCTGTAGGGAAAATCCCAGGTGCAGAAATGTGTTTTGTTACTATTATTATTGTTTTCTCCTATAAGATGAGCGGAGAGAGGCAACCCCCAAAGATGCTGCAAGGGATCCGGTGCCCAGGAAAGCCCTGACGCAACCACCCTGAGGAATTTCTGGCTAGAAATAACTCTCTCCCTCTTAATCGCTCCCTGTTAATTACCCCAAGGACAGAAATAGCCATTTCCAGCAGTGGTGCTGGGCAGGGATGCTCGTGTAGGGTCCCCATGTGACCCCGCTGGAGCAGACCCCATCCCGCAGCCTCTGTTTGCTTTGGAGCACCCGATGTTTGCCTGACGGTATTTATAACTGGGCTGAGATTTATTTCTTTTTTCATTTCCCACTCTCCCCCCCCTCCATTCAGAAGGTGAATTATAAAGCAGCAAAACAACACCACCAAAATTATTAAGGGAAGAAGAGGGAGAAAGGGAAAAACAAAAAATCTCTTCCCCGCTATATAATTATTTCCAGCCTGGGACAGAGTTAAAATTATTTTAAAGGGAAAAAAAAAAAAAAAATACAGAGAAGAAGAGGCTATTAACCAGCTAAATAACAGGCTGGGATGTTTTGCTTTGGGGCTATTTTGAAGTACAGAAGCATATTTATTTACAGGGCTGAATTTCTGCAAATCCACAACGGGGGCAGAACTGAGGGGACAATGCAGCTTTTTGGGCACGGGAAGCGTGAGAAAGGGGTTTGTGTCTCACTGTGAGAGCGGGGCAGCTGCTGTGGCACTGCTGCCCTGCACCCAGAGTGGTCTCAGCACAGCATCTCCTGGAGCCCCAGCCCTGCACCCATGGAAGGTCCCAATGCAGTACCTACTAGATCCCAACTCTTCACCCATGAGTAGTCCCAGCCACCGTCTCCTGAAGCCCCAGCCCTAAACCCAACAGTAACCTCAGCCCCAACACCTATTGAGAATCTCAGCCCTACATCTGCTTGGGATCCCAACTCTGCACCCAACAGTGACTCCAATCCCAACATCTACTGAGAATCCCAGTCCTACCAGTCCTACACCAACAAGACCTACACCAACAAGTCCTACACCAGTCTTTGTGTCCCAGCTCTGAACTCTTTGGTGGTCTCAGCCCTACATATGCCAGGTCCCAACTCTTCCCACATGAGTAGTCCCAGCCATCGTTTTTTGGAGCCCAAGCCCTAAACCCAAAAGTGATCCCAGTCCCAGCACCTACTGAGGATCTCAGCCCTACATCTTCTTGGTGTCCCAACTCTGAACTCTCTCTGGTCTCAGCCCTACATATGCCAGGTCCCAGCTCTTCCCCTATGAGCAGTCCCAGCCCAACATCTGCTGGAGGTCCTGACTCTTCACCCATGAGTAATCCTGACCATCATTTTCTGGAGACCCAGCCCTAAACCCATCAGTGACCCTAGTCCCAATACCTATTGAGGATCTCAGCCCTACATATTCTTGGGGTCCCAATGCTGCTCCCTTTGGTGGTCCCAGCCCAACATTCACTCCCTTCTGTGCACCCTCGATGTGTGTGTGCTGCACCCTGTCCCTGCATTTTCCTGCTTTTAGCTTTTTTCCATCCCATTTTCATCCCAACTCTGCACCCTTTGGTGCTACCAGCCCAGTATCAGCCCATCCACAGGTGATCCCAGACCCTCCTGGTCCCGCCGTCCCCACTGCCATCCCCACCTCTATGTCAGGGATGTTCTCCACCAGCTGCCGGGCGATGTCTTTGCAGCCGCCCTCCAGTGCATCCAGGGGCATCTCTCCATCCGAGTACCAGTCACGGTTGGCCGAGTGCGCGTAGGCAGCACTGGGCGTCGCGTGGGTCACCCGGGTGGTGGTGACAATGCCCACCGCCTTGCCTGCACCATGAATTCACAGGACGATGGTGAGAATGTCCCAAAAACCCAGCGTCCCCCAAAACCTGGCTCCTCACCTTCATCCTTAGCCCAGCGGAGGATGGAGGTCACCTCCTGGCCCTTGGTGGTGTTGCAGCGGTCACGGGTGACACTGGCGCTGACACCCACTGTCCCCTCGTTGGCTTTGACACCACAGAGGTAGGCGGTGGCTGTGCCTGCGCTGTCAGGCACCTGTGCATTGGTATTGTAGGTCTGGGGGAATAAAAAGACCTTTACTATTATCCTGACCATCGTCATCCTCATCACTGTACCGTCCCCAAACTGGGATTCCCCTCCTGCACTGCTCGGCACTCAGCACCTTCTGGGGATGCAACCCTGCACCCTTTGGAGGTCCCAGCCCTCTAGACATCAAGTCCCAGCTCTTCCCCCATGAGAGGTCCCAGCCCAACATCCCTTGGAGGTCCTGACTCTTCACCCATGGGTGGTTGCAGCTCAACATCTCCTGCAGCCCCAGCTTTGCAGCCATTGGTGGTCCCAACCTACCATACAAAGGATCTCAGCCCTTCACCTTCTTGGGGTCCCTACTCTGCACCCATCTGCGGTCCCAGTGCAGTAACTACTAGATCCCAGCTATTTACCCATTGCTGGCCCCAGCCATCATCTCCTGGAGCCCCAGCCCTAAATCCATCAGTGGTCCTAACCCTACACATATGGAGGATCCCAGCCCTATATCTTCTTGGGGTTTCAACTCTTCACCCTTCGGTGACCCCAGCCCAACATCCATCTTTTGTGCGCTCTTGATGAGTGCGTGCTGCACACCCTTACTGTGTTTTGCTGCTTTTAGTCCTTTTTCAGGCCATTTTTAGGCAAACAGAGAAAAAGCCCGCCCTCTGCACCCCCACAAGCATCCCCTGCAGGGACCGGCTGAAATAAGGGGCGGGGGCTTGCAACTTCAAAACAAAAGGAGTCTTTTCTCCAGCAAAACAGTGCAGGGAGGAGAGGAGGGGTCCCGGCCCCCCCATTCCTGTGGGTGAGCCCTGGCACAGCACTGGGTACAGGACACCAGCCAGTGCCTCTCGCCGCCCATGACCTAATTTCAGCTCCGCTCGATGCCGCCCGCCCGCCAGCGACCTTGCAGCGCCCGCCCCGGGCTCACCTTGGCCAGGGCAACATATGGGAACTTGTCCATCTCCAGCAGGCTCTCCTCGCCCTTGCGGTGCTGCAGCTGGCCCTTGAGGATGCGTGCGGCCGTCACGGTGGAGACACCCATACCTGCAGGTGGGCACCCGTCAGCGCCACGCCGGGACGGGACGGCATGGGGTATGGGGTGCAGCACCCCATGCATTGCAGCACCCGGTGCAGTGCAAAGCCCACTCAATGCACCCTGGGCTGGGTCCCCCCTCACCGTCGCCCAGGAAGAGGATGAGGTTCTTGGCCACATTCTGGTTGAGGTGCTGCAGCCTCAGTGCATCCCGCAGCGTCTCCTGTGCCTGCTGCCTCCAGTACTCGGGGTCCTTCTCTCTCTCTGTAGGGTGCAGGGTGCTCGGTGAGCTGCGTGCTCCCGAAGGGCACCCAGCTGGTGTGCAGCCCTAACGAGCCACCTACCGGGAACCAGCGATGCCGAGCAGAGTTGGGCCAGGAGGGTGAGGAGGAAAGCCTTCATTATGCCCTTCAGTGCTCCTCTTGGGGAATGGACAGGAGAAAGCTGCAGGACAGCACCCGCTGTGCCTCAGTTTCCCCAGCCAGACCTTTGTCCCTGGGCTCGGCCAAGCGAGGACAGAAGGGTCAGCCGGGGAACGGCAGCACGGCCCCACTGCCAGCATTCCATTGCATACTGAGGTCCCCATTGCACGGCTGTGTCCCCACATTGTGTCCCCATCCCCATCACACTGTGTCCCTGTCCCATTGCATGCGTGTGTTCGTAGCACTTTGGGGTCCCCACCGCATGTCCTGATCGCCACTGCACATCTGGGTCCCCCATTGCATGCCTGTATCCCCACCATGACTATGTTCCCACCGTGTCTGTGTCCCCTTTTGATGATTTGTGTCCCTAGACATGGCCCCGTGGCACGCCTATGTACCTCCATTGTGTCTGTGTCCCCGTTGTGTCCGTGTCCCCATCTCACGCCCATGTCCCTATCCCACGGCCATGTCTCCTCTGCACATCTGTATCCCCACCACACACCTCCGTCCCCACCGCACACCTCCGTCCTCATTGCACGCCCATGTCCCCACTGCACATCCACCTCCCTGCTGCCTGCCCGTGACCCCACCCCACATCTGTACCCGTGTCCCCATCACCGGTCCCGCGTCCCCGTGTCCCCGCCGTCCCCGCCATATCCCCGTGTTCCCACCGCACATCGATGTCCCCTGGTACAGCTGTGTCCCCACGCCCCCCCCCGCCCTTAGGAGTCCCTGTGCGGGGGTCCCTTACCCACACGGGGCGGCCCGCACAAAGTTGGGCGCAGTCGCGGGTCCCTCCGGGCGCGGAGCGGAGGAGGCGGGGGGGGGCAGCGGCCTTAAATCCCCCCGGCCCGGCTCCGGCCCTCGCCTCCTCCTCCTCCTCCCCTTCCTCCACCCGCTGCCGGCACGGGGGGGTGGGAGGCAGCAAACTGGGCTTACTGGTGCCCTCTGCCGGGTCTTACTGGGAGGACTGGGAGCACTGGGGAGGCTCGGCGGGACCGGCTGGGTTGGGGGTGTGGAGTCCCCGGGGTCCGCTTTGTGGTTGTGCTCGGCCCCGCTCCCTTACAGCCCCTTTAGGGCAGTCCCCGGGTGAACCCTCGTGGAACCCTCGTGGGGGTGATGATGGGGCGGTGGGGTCGGAGAGACGGGGTCGGGGCGGAGGGGTCGGGGCGATGGGGTCGGGGGTCCACGGTGGTTTCGGAGCGATGGGGTCGGGTGGTGGGCTTGGGACGATGGGGTCGGGGTGATTGAGACGGGGGCACCGCGTAGAGCCGTGGGGCGCTCGGTGCTCCCCAGGAGGGGGCGGCCTCAGCCCAAAAATGCGCTCCGACGGCTGCAGGGAGCCCCAACCCCACGGGGGGGTGCAGCCCCTGAGGTCGCACACGTGCGTGCACGCGAAATCGCGCCCTGGCATCCTTGCACGTGCTTGCGTGCGTGCACCGCGGCGGGTTTGCACCCTGGCACGCTCGCTTCCTCCTCGTGCAACGGCGGGACGTTTGTGCACCGACGCGTGCCCCCTCCCTTGCACAGCTGCACGGCCACGTGCTCGCAGCACTGCACGCTCAGCGTTGCACACTCGCAGCGCCGCACATCCGAACTCAAACCTCGTCCTCACTCTCCCAACCCCCCC